AGCTAATGCTGTCTAGAGTTCATGGCTGTACGTTTATACAACAACACATGTGGAGACTTCTTAGGTAAATGATAACATTTCCAGTATAACATTTTAATAATTTTAAAACCAATTAATAACATGGCAATGAAGGAAATGATAATAAAATGAAATTACAAACTCTTCTTGAATTCTGTAAAATACTTGTAGGGTAAAAAAAAAGACCCCACTTTTTTATTGTAATTTGTAATCAATATTTTTAAAATGTCAGAATAATAAGCTTGAGGTATGGCCCTGCAAAAGGAAGAGAGAAGAAACGTGGGAGCTTTGGGAAGCAAGGTTCCATAGGAAGCTTTTCACCATTATCCACACAATTTAAGTCAATATTACTGAAAGGAAATATGTGATTATTGTAATCACACTCTGGTCATTAAATATAAAACAATATTCTCCATTCTTCACTAGTCAAAATAATCATGTACTAACCACATTGAACTGGCCTTCCCTATTAAAAGTGTGATTTTGACAGCCTAGGCAACTCAGTCACTTCTGGATGCCTTTTGAGGGACACAGTTACCATGGGTTGGAAACTATTTGGTATTTTCTTGATGTCCTTATACGGTCCCCTTTTCTTTATGAGATGGAAGGCCTGTGAACCTAAGTACATTTCTCAAATCAAGGAATATGTTCATGTAACTAGTGCACATTTAACTCAGATCATAGGTTGTACAAAAACTACCTAGCCTTTAACAACTTATAAATAACAATACCTGAAATAAGATACAGACTTCCATGGTTATAATATAAGTGGGAAATAAATATCATAGTGGGCCAAAAATCAAATAATGAAAACAATGTAGAGGTGAAAACGCTTGGGGGATTTAGTAAGGGTCTCGTAAAGATGTAAAGGTTATAAAAGCACAATGAAGCTAGAATGTTGCACTCTATTTCCCGTTCCTCACTTTAATCTCAGCCTTAAAGGAGAAAAAGCAACACTAGAAGAAACTGGGAAAATTATAAAATGGATGCTTTTTTTTTTCAATTAAATATTATACTAGTTGTTATCTGGAGAAATATCTCTGTAGTTAAGTGAACTATTGGTCTTGCTGAGGACCCATATTTGGTTTCCCATCTCCCACATGGTAGCTCATAACCATCTCTAACTCCAGTTTTACAGAATCCAATGTTCTCTTCTGACTTGCAACAGGCATACATATGGCAAAACGCTCACATACCTAAAAATAAAATACATTAATGAGGAGGATTCCTATTGCAGAAGTGTGTTCACCTGTCTATTTAGATCTCAAATTCATATTACCACTTTTTCAGTATTCCGCATATATATCAGACAAGTACTTTAAATACTTATTTCTTTAATAAATATCATGGGTGCTACAAGTTCATTATAGAGTCAAGAAATATTACCAGATTTTGTGATATTCTTCAATAAAGTAATATGACACTATTCATTTATTAATTTTAGAGAGTTTAGTTTGTCTAATGCTTTACTATCTTTTAACTAAACATAAATATAGCATGCAAGTATAATTACATTACTGGAAGACATTTTATCCATTTCCAATTTGTATGTCCTACTTTATGTCATATGCCTTAGTAGTGTGGCAGGACTTTAAGTTCAGAGATAACCAGGAGATATGAGACTGGATCTACTTGACTGGGAGAAAAAAAATTCAAACTCTCACCATTTTATTTGTACATGCCTAAAAAGTTCATGATATATTCATATATTAAATCCACATTAAAAATGCAACATATATTCTTACCATATATTGATATTATTTTATGTTAATTTTAATTATGGTAAAATTATATATTTGTTAATCCATGTATATATACGATTTTAGTATTACTTTAGTAATGTATTAGATTGCCATAATTTCCAAATAATTCCACTTGAGGATTTTTTTCACACTTAATGTGAATTTTATAATTAATGTTATTTGATATTTCCAGAACTTCCATTTATTCTATTTTATTAAAGTAAAGTCCTTCTGCTTTTATGATCTACTCTACATTCACATCTAAGTGTATGAAAATGGCAGTGTATTTTCTTTCACAAATAAGATCTTGCTCATTTCTGGCCACATGATTAGGTCTTACTGTGTATTCTTTTAGACTTTCTCAATTCATTGTTTTGTTTTTAACTTATGCTTCATAATGCAAGTAGGGTAAGCGCGCCTCAGAAGGTGGTTTAACATAGGAATTAGCTTATTATTTAATGTTGCTGATACATATACTTGCATGAACATTATTTGTTAAAGCCATGTACTTTCGTAAGTACTGGTGGAGAAATGAAGGAATCACGGGAGAATTTTATACTCTGCAAAACTAAACTAAGTGTTTGATTGCTAAGTGTACTGATTTATTTGCTTATCTCCAAGTAAAGAATTCCCACCTGTTTTTTGTCACCAAAAATAAAATAACCATGTCACAGTGAAAAGAGCAAGTCAATTCAGTTTTTCATTAACTTAGATTTGCTTGGTTATGAGAAAATACTTCTGACTCTGAAGAAAGCTAAAGAGCTGTGAAGGTCTGAGCTAATTTTTGTTCTCTTCCAAGTTAAAACTTAAAAGTCATCCCTGTACAAACCAGAACTCGGGTTTTAAAGTACAGTCCTATACATATTCTTGAAGAGATTCTCTGTCTAAGTTTAATAAATGATGCTGGTACTTCTGAATTTATTTTACTTTTATTTTACAGGAAATTACTGTTATTTCATAGTCTGAAAAGGTTAAATGAATTGTTAGATACCCCTGTATGTTTTTAAGAACTAATAACTAATACAGTCTCTTGCTTGCCAAGTTACTTTAATGAATAAGTAGATGATACTCATAAACATTTGAGACTTTGTTACTGATAAAATTGTAAGCTTTTATGTTTGCAGTTTTAAAAGCTTTGGGATGATAAGCCATGCATTCTCTGTCTTGGGTTTCTTTCACTCTTTCTATCTTTTGCCTCCTACATAAATACTTTTGTTTCTGTTGTCCTTTTCTGCGTAGTTCTCAAGCTTGTCCCTTTTGCTTTTTGTCTTATTTCTTGTTCTTTCCTTCACCAAATTATTATTTTTCCCTCCCTTCCTTTTGACTTTCTACCATCCTCTAAACAAGTGTAGACAGCATTATTAATGTGTTGTGTTCACACATATTAATGCATGCATTAATGAACACACAATCCATTATAATTTTTATCTAGGGAAAATGTACTATACTAACATGCATGGATTTTCAGAAACTGTCCTTAGGATAAGAGTGGAAACGTTTCTTCAGTCTTTATCCTTATGTATCACTGAACAGAATCATACCTAAGAAACTTCATCTAATTAAGACCATTGGAGTTATAATACTATTTATAGTGATACCAAGATTTTCTAACTAACTTACACTTTCACTTTATTCTCAACATACTGGACTCCACTATTCAAGAACCATATGAGATAATTATATTTTTCTCCTGGCAGTAATAATGAACTGGATTTAGATATTCACCATCTTAAATGACAAAATATGCAGTATTCCCAAGTTAGTATATACTATTAGAATTAGCCAGTACATCTGTAAGCATTGTGCCATGTATTTAGTTTAGCCATATTTGTTTTGCTGTGAAACAAAGGTTTCATTGAATTGTTAGTTTGTCATTATGGGACTAAAATGAAGATACACCACTGAATCCTGTTTCAGGTACATGACAATGAAAACTGCAGGCATTCAACTGTTCCCTAAATACTATTGGGGAGAACCATGAATCCACACAGTTCACCTAAGCATGTGGCTTGATAAAGGTCACAGTATCTACAAAATAAGATAATTACAGATTAAGAAATCTGTGAATGTATTTTTGTAATCTTAGACTTGTCATTTTCATCAATATTCCTCAACCCTTTTTATTTTTCCCAATAACACTTCCCGAAGGCAAATAAATTCAATTATTACATAGGAAATAAAACAAAACAAAAAACCCCTACAGTTTTAAAATAGCCTTATTTATAAAGAAAGCACATATTTCAGTGCACTAAGCCTTACCTTGGCCCTCTTGTTTCACAGGTTACATGCTCCACATGTCTGATACTTGTGTGTTGGGTGGTCTTGTACTAACCCATAGCTGCTCCAGCACATAATTGTGTGATATGAAGGAATGCAGAAAACAGGGGAAGCATTGTCACTGAGTCAGCTGCACGAAGAAGTAACGTGTGTGAATGTACAGTATAGGGAAATCTATGAAAGATCCAGTCTATTTCTCCCAAAAGACTCTGTTCCAAGATACAAGGAGAATTCAGTCCTTGTTGGCAGACCTCCATGTCAGTTTGAAAGCAGTAAAAAACGACAAGACAGGCTTCTCAATGTCTTTACTTTTAATACTTAAGTAACTTTAACATTTTCTTATTTTATTCTGTCTTAAAGACCAAGAAAGGGATATCAATTTCCACTGGCTTGTTTGCGCATAGTTTTTGTACTTGTATGTAATTAAGAATGAACTAGCAATGAATTCAACCATTCATGATAAGCCTGTATCTGTTCTAGTAACATTTTAAGGAAAGGCCATCTATCTTTGAACGGACTAGATGACTTTACAACATATTACATCAGGAAGGGCAGAGAATCCCAGCAGATGATGCATATGTATAAAAATGAGTGTTATTAAATAATGCACACTTTTAATATGGAGAAATTAGGTAATTTCCCCACTCCTCCCACAAATATTCAATCTTAATATCTGTGTAATGAAACAACACAGATAGTGTTATCCATCCTGGTACTAATGGATAATGCCAGTTATGACAGGTTCATTGTTTACTTTAACAGGTAATTTGTGGACCGGAATCATTTAATTGTTCTGAGTACATAATTACATGTCAGCAATTTCCAATTTAATTAGAATGTACAAATCTGAAGATTAAGGGAATTTTTGAATTATTAATCATTTTTCCACTAGGAAATCTTGTTGCTCTGCAGGAGATTTGTCCAGTGTACAACTATACGTATTTTTTTCCTTCTCGTTCACAGACAGACAATTTTCCCGCAGAGCCCAATTACATGGGCAGCAGGCAGCAGTTTGTTCAAAGGTAAGGCCTATTAAATAACTTTCTCGGCTTCCCCATTTGCATTCCTGTCAAAATTGCTTTGCAAGAGACTACACTCCAGGTTTAAACTGGTAGAGACAACACTTTCTCCTCTTTTTCTTTATATGTATTTCAGTAGCTCCACGTTTAAGGACCCAGAAAGAGCCAGCCTGAGAGACAGTGGGCACGGGGACAGTGATCAGGCTGACAGTGACCAAGACACTAACAAAGGCTCCTGCTGTGACATGTCTGTTAGGGAGGCACTCAAGATGAAAACTACTTCAACTAAAAGTCAACCACTTGAACAAGGTGAGTGATGTCTTCCGGTGCTTACCAAGTGTAAAGCTTAAGTCATCTGCATAAACCTAGCAATGTTGTTTGTCACAGTGGACTAGAATGCTGATAATATATCAGAGAAAGCCCACAGTGACCCTAGACAACAAAGCTTTTCCTTATCACAGCCAGAATGGATAGTGCCCTTGGAGCAGCTTAAAAGTGGAACTTGACTCTACACACTAGGTTCTCGTTATATGGATGTTTCCTAACCTTGCCTAATTTGGGTTTCACTAGCAAGGACAATTTTGCACGCAGAAGCTGAATATTTAGGAACATTAAGCTATCATTTATATTCCTAACATTGGAAAACAATTTTAGATGTAAAAACTTGGTACAGATTTTATACTTCTTATCCATGTTGTTTTGTTTTTAGCTTTGATTGTAGTTTCTAAGTTGGTTTTCAAGGATGTGATTACAGCTGAGACTTGGTCACTATAGATTGGCATCTTTATGTTCTCAGAGTTAGCAAATAAACATAAACTTGTTAACACTGATATAGATGCAAAAGGAATATAAGATACTATTGTCAGGACATTTGGCATAACTTCATACTAATGTTTTGATGTTTTAGTTATTTCAGTCACTATGAGACATTTGCTAATGATTCCTTCATAGACAACTGAGATTATCTCCTGTGTAAGACAACGAAGAGATTTTAATGTTGTTTTAAATGAGATGAAAATACATGTCTCATAAATCAAATTTTAGAAAGATATGCTAATTACATATTAGTCTTCAGATTATTGACAGTATTTATGCATGATTTAGATAAACTATTGTAGATTCCTTCTAGTGAGAGACCACACTTAAACTAATGGCATATAGCTTCTAGATCAATTAGTAATCGTTCTTCCAAATACGATTTTGTGTGTATTGCAGTATTATTTTAGGGACTTTTCAAATAATAATGAGACTTCAGTATAAACATTCATTCACCTACATTTCAAAACGTCTATGCCTACTTATTTAGAGACATTTAAAAAAGGAAATGTATAGTCAGTGTAGAGTAATAAATATTCATTCACTTTATTGTATTTAAGAATGACCTCCTAATTGTTTGCTTAAATAGTAAGGTTTAGACGAATGGCAATTTCTATATATTTACCATAACAGCATGGTGGGTGGTGAAACAACTCTGTCTTAAGACTTATTCTCAAAAGAAGCAAATAGAATACTTCTTTACTATGCACACTTCCTAAAGCCTTGGGTGATTACTTGGAGAACCCTAAATGGTTATGGTAGAGTGTGGCTCTATAATTTACATAAACCTTTTAGGCACATTTTACTACTGGATTTCCTTATGTGAGTACATGGCACAACTGTCCCATGTGTTGGTGTGACAAATTAGGAAACAAAAATATAACACTATAAATATCATTTATAAGGGGATACACAATAGATGAAGTTCTTATGGGTTGTGACATCTTTATAAGGCATTTTTAAATAGTAAGTATAAAAAATACCACAGCAAACACTGCAAGCATTAATGCTGATTCCATTCTATCCTTTAAGCCATAACAGTACATATTTGGTATGATTTCTCCTGTAGAAAAAGAAATTTCAATCTAATTATGCCTGAAAATATAAATTATAGTAAAATACTATGTCTTCAACTTCTATATCAAAAGATAACCTTAGGAAAGTGACTGTCATTTTTGAAAAACAGTACAAGTAATCATATATTTCAATTACTGTTACTCATGAAGTAATTGCTAATACAAGAGTGAGCTTTCCGATAATAGTGTCTCTTTTAAAGTTAATAATTTGGACACATTGCTATGAAATACACAGAAAGGTTCCTATGAAATGGAAACATAGACTTAGGAGAGCTATGATTTATTCAGGAAAGAACACTGGTTTCCATTTTTAAAAATGTTAAGTTTAGCTATATCATTCCCTTTATTTGTAAATCGATTTAGTTATTTTATTTATTACTTTAGTAAATATCCATTTTACTATGTAATAAAGGAATGCTGAATGTTAGAAACATCTGAATGGATGGTGCTGAGTGCTGCCTTCATTTTCTTGCATGTAACTAGTGTACTTGATTTTTCTCTTTTTTTCTCATCTCTCTCATCTCAATCTACCTTATCTGTCTTATGTGCATGTCTGTTTTTCTTTCTGATTATCTAGATTCAGAGAGCAGAATGAGAATTTACTAGGTTCTTACTACTGAATATAAACAATGGAAAATTTATCACAAATTTATTTAATTTAACCTGAAATATCTAAGAAAATTTCTCCCTTTATCTGACATTAGAAAGTAAAGCTTAGCAGAATCTATTAACTTGTTTAAGAGGCTAAAGTCTAATAGTAGGAATATATATGAGCAAAACATGGGCATTTTCTAGAAAACTTTGTCTCTTTGTGGATTTGTTCTTATGGCCATTTTGATTGATGTTGGTTGCTTTGAAGAGATATGAAGCCGCTATGAATGAGTATGTTGATGTTTGCTGAGGCAGGGAAAGAAATCAAACACCTGGTATGCACTGATTGAGCATGAGATACCCACTTTACTTCATTAAGTATTATCCATTTAATCTTATCAATTTATTTTTATAGCATTTACAACAGCTAAGTGTTATTGCTCTCACATTTAATGGTTGTATGTGCTTTTAATGCATGCCAGTTGTAAACAGTGAAGGCAATAATTGAAGAAAAACAGTATAGGACACTAAAAGTATGATTTCAGAATCTACCTTATAATCTGGGTTTCATACAATTTAAATGGTGAGAGGTTTACTCATAAGAAATTGAAAATGTTGAGCAAGTATATTACTATTTTCTTGGACAAAATATTCTGCTAATTTTTTTGAAAGCATCATGATAAACTTCATTAAACACGTGTAGAAGAAAACTTACTTTACTGATGATGACATTCATGTCTAAATAATGATCTCATTTAGGGTTCAAATATTAAATTCTAATTTCCAGTACACCCAGAAATTTCTAAAGAAAATTAGAATATAAATTAAATAAAAACTAATTATCCCATTTGTCTTAGAAATTTTGTGATAATACTTTATGTGGTTTGTTAAAAATCAGCACCATATTGTATTTTATATTTTTGTGTCATTTCCTTTGGGTTGTGTTCCTGTTTAAAAGATTTCTCTTTAGAAAAATAATGTTTCATTTCTTAACTATAGCATTTCAAATTATACATTAAAAAAATTCCAACAACCTTATTCAGACTTTCAGTGAAAATAATGATTTTCTTTTGGAGAAGATGACTTAGACATCTTGAAATTTTCTTTTATTAATTTTTTATATGTTTGTTTTTTGAGATCGGGTTTTTCTGTGGCTTTGGAGGCTGTCCTGGAACTAGCTATTGTAGACAAGGCTGGCCTTGAACTCATAGAGATCTGCCTGCCTCTGCATCCTGAGTTCTGGGACTAAAGACATGCACCACCAATGCCCAGCCTTCTTTTATTAATTTAAGGCTACTTTTCCTCTCCATTTTGGGGGAGTTGGGTTTTGATTTCTTTCATTTGTTCTGCTCCTTGTATGTGGGTCTGTATTTTTGCTGTCGTCAGCTTAATAATACCAAATACAGAACACTAGTATGCATTGCCCATTATGTTTTGCAAAGAATACTTGAAAGGATTCAGCAGCTAATTGAAGGTGTGATGTATGTTACTGCAGCTGATGATAGCTTTAAGGATTTTATGTTAATATAACTTCCAAGAGAAATAAGCTATTTTTATTGTGTTAAAAAATTCTTAAAGAATGTACTTAAGTTCTCCTTATTTTGAATGAATTTTGCACCCTCCTTTTGCATTTGTAAAATATATTCCCATGTGCCCCTTTCGACTTTTATCGAGTAATATAGGTACATAAAAGTGTGAATACATAAAGAGATGACAGAACAATATAATTAGATATCATACAAAACAAGATAGCACAAGTTTAATAGTGCATCTTTTTAGTAAAAAAACTAAACATTTTATAATTTCCAATAAACCATTTTTATGAAGAAGTGCAAGAAATTGAACAAGATATTATTTTTCTTTCATTGACTAACATTTTAGTGTAAAAATGTCTTGCATCAAATGCCAATAAAATACATACAATGCTGTTTTTTTTATAAAGACAAACCTATATGATTTCATTAACAACAAATCCCTTTCAAGAGCTTTTAAAACAAATTTAGATTTATGGTTCAGAATACTAGTCACACTTTAACTTTTCTAAAGAATTTTTTTACTTTTGGATTTCCATCCATTAGAAGTCCTATAAGAGAATTCAGTGTTAATAATAATGTTATCATTCCAAATGATTTATAAGTACTACCTAAAAGAGAGTCATTTTGTTTGATGTCAAAATGGTTATTGGATGACTTCCCAAACACTTGCCAGTCACTTGCTTGCCTAATGAAAGTTTTGAATTTTCCAAAGATGAGCAATACTTATGATCTTTGCATGACTCACTGACAGATACCAAGTCAGTATAAGCTAGTAGAATAAAATTTTGTCTTGCAATTTTATTGACATCGTGCAACAGAGGTGGCTGGTTCCACATTATAGCATCTACAGCCTTGTTGATAGGAGGAGTCCATTTGGCTGTGCCAGCTTTCCAGTAATTCTTCTGCTTCTTGGTTGCTGTTAGGTTGAATATTTTTTTTCTCACAGCTATATTATACAGGTTTGTCCTGATATATAGACATTCTATCCTCTCTCTACTTATAGAGATCCTGTCTACCTTTGCTGTCGTGTATTAAGATAGAATTCCCACTAGAATCCTTGATCAAAATCCAATTATTACAATTTCACAGAGATTAAAAATGTTAAATGCCTTCATTTGCTACAATTAATTCAACTGTCTAAGCTAAATTGTGTCGACAATTCCTAAAGAATATTCTAAAAACTTCAGAAAGTAAAGTTAGTGTTTGTCATCTGCTTCAATCAGTATTTGAATTTTCCTTGTGGGCTATATAATCAAAGTACACTAAAGCTCAACTTGTCCTTTTTTCTGTT